AAAAAAATCTGGGAAATTTGCCACGTTGGAAAGGCGCCCGCTGCCGTGGCCTAGGTTTCTCACTGAAAATCCTCGTCCCCCGGCGGCACCTTTTTTTTGAATTTTCTTCGCAATAATATTCGGAAAATAGGTAACTTTTAACACATTTTAATGCAATAAAAATTTCTGGTCGGAGTCCCCCTTTAAAATACAGCTTCAAATTGTTTTCCTCAATTTATCTGTCTTTGTTCCCATAAAAGGCGGAAAATTCTGAAAAATTTCATGAAAAAAACATCGCACACAGTGGCCATCTTTGGATGCGCTTTCCAGGAATTTAGAGTTTTTTCAGAGTATTATTATGAAAACCTATTGTTTTGGGAACATTTTTTTGTAATACAAAACAAAATTATGGTCCCCCTTCATATAAAAAATTTCAGTCAGATTGGGTGAACACCTGGAAGGATCGAGTCTCGAAGAACTCTCTCCTGGCAGTTCACAATCATTTCTACCCCTACAAAGAAGTGGAGAAACCGAAAATAGACGATGAATCGAAGGACAAACTTCGCAGCGCTTTTGTCAAGGAACCAATCGAAACGATCCGAGCGAAGTTCCAGAAACTAATGACTTATTGTGCCAGAGATAATATTCTTTGCGCTGAAATCTACTACGGATTATGGCCGGAATTTGTTAAGCGATTTCCTCATCCAGCTACACTTTCCGGGATGCTGAATATGGGAAATGTGTATCTGCCGATTAATAGTTATTGGAAGATTTTTTATGAGAGAAACGTTCAAATTTGTGCGGAGAAGAAGACGTTGGCGACGAGGAGGATTGTGGAGGCAGCTAGGATGTTGGAAAAAGGATTGGTTGGAGAAGAAGAGGAAGAAGAGAATCCAATGCCTCCTGGCCCTGAAGACGTCTGGATGTGGAACCAAGATTGGACTCTTAACTCTAAACTAGCCTGCTCTGAATGGCTCATCAAACTTTTCAAAGCTCGAAAGTTTGCAAATTTGAGCTTAGAAGAGGTGGAAAGTGAACACATTGCACTGAAAAGTCAACTGATTCCTGGAATTTTCGGCTTCGTATTCGGCCCATTTCCACTTTTTAAAACTCGCTCCAAAGGCTGGGGATTCTTGGTTCCGAATTGGAAGGCTGTTGAGAAGGCGTTGGAGGATCCGGATGTCTCGTTTATTGAAATGAAAACTGACGCTAAAGAGGACGCTGTGAAGAAGAGGTTCCCGTTGAGAAGTTTCTACGAAACTGTCCAGAATAATGTTTATGAGTTCGGAGAGTATCCGATTTCTGAGGATCGGAAGGGGTTTGAGATGGATGAGGCGGGATTGGTTCGATTCTATCAGATGGACCATCCGACTGGAGAGGGAAATGTTGGTGATCCGCTGACGAAACATTTTGCAAAGGATTTGAAAGAGCAGGTCTTGAGACCAACTAGGTTAGACAATTTTAGAAAAAAAAATATTATGCTGGCACGACAAACATACAGTGCCGGCCGAAAAGAAACGTCGATGGCCTTGGCCGAAGGTCCCACAACGACAACTACAGTAACCTAAACAATCTATTTTCCGGATTTATTTTCTCATTTTTTGTGCATTTTTGGTCAATTTTTCTTTCAATTTAGATTTTTCTACATTTTTGGGGAAAAATAACAGAAAATTAGATGAAAAAAGAAGCCAAAAAAGCGATTTTGGGAGTCGAAATTGGAATTTTCAGATACCGAAGTAGGAATTTAGCGTTTCCAGGTCAAAATGTGATTTTTGGGGTCTAGAACAGGCATTTTTGAGACCAAAACGACTTTTTTTTCTGGAATTTTCATGCTAGAAATCGCAAAAAATTTCGAGAGAAAAAATTGATTTTTTCTTCGATTTTTGGAAACTTTTTTTAGACCTTTTTAGGATTTCCAGCTATTTTTGAAGATTCTTTTTCGATTTTCCGGTTTTTTATTGTCTGAAATTTGACGGGACGATGTTTTGGCTACTGAAGATTACTGTAGATTACTGTAGAACCCTAATTTCCTTCCGTATTTTTCTTGCAAACACAATCACGTCAAGCTTACAAAAAAAACTACAAACTACAAGGTTTCTACAGTAATCTTCTGTCAAGAACACCAAATTTCAGAAAAAAAATGAGGAAAATCGAAAAAAAATCTTTGAAAACAACGGAAAAACCTAAAAAGGTCTAAAAATTTTGCTAAAAATCGAAGAAAAAAAAAATCAATTTTTCCCTCGAAAATTTTGCGATTTTAGCATTAAAAATTCTAAAAAATGTCGTTTTGGACTAAAAAATGACTGTTCTAGACTTCAAAAATCACAACTTTGACGTCTGAAATGCCATTTTCGACCTGAAAATGCTATATTTTAATCCTAAAAATTCCTGTTTCGACCTCAAAAATCACTTTTTTGCCATAAGTTTTCTGTTTTTCTTCCTCATAAAAGTCGGAAATTGAAATTTTTGATAATTAAAAAATAACTGACAGCACTGAAGTCAAGAAAATAATTCCGGAAAATTAAAACATTTTTAGGTTACTGTAATTGTGGGACCTTCATACTTTGTACCAGAATAACTCTTTTCCAGATATGAGCAACTTTTCCGAGTGGTTCTCGATTCCATCCAAACCACTCAATTCTGGACGAGCTATAGCGATCGATACAGACAAGAAGTGGCAATTTGGTACCCTGAAAAATCGTGGAAATCCGGAGAAATCGATATGATGGAAGGAGCGATCGCGGCGGCTGTAGTACCAGCTGGTACAGTATCCCGACGGAGTGTTCATAAATTATGGGTCACATTGACGAATCAATCGACAGGACATGTGATTGGAACTGGAATTAAAGCGATGGTACAGGCACCAAAGGGGTTTAAGCTGGTTGGAGCGGATGTGGACTCACAGGAGCAATGGTTAGCAGCATTGTATGGAGATGCGAGTGCTGAGAAACGATTGCGTGAGTGTGGACTGAAAATTTGAGATTTTGAAATTTTGACATTTTAAAATCCCGAAATATTGAAAATCTGATATTCTAAGATTCTAAAATTCGTAATTTCTAAAATTTCAAAGTTCGAAAATTTCGAAATTCCGAAAATGTAAAAATTCGAAATTCAGAAACCCTTAAATTTTGCGAATTCTCAGATTCGTAGATTCTGAAAGTTCTAAAAATCTAAAATTGTGAAATTCTGAAATTACGAAATTCTGAAATTCTGAGATTCAGGAATTCTGAAAATCGTGAATTCTAAGATTCTGAAAAACTGAACTATTGAAATTTAAAAAATTCGAAAGACGAAACTTCTGAAACCCTTGACATTCTGAATTTTTCTATCGCCTATTTACATCTGCTGAAATCAAAAACGCAATCGAAAATCATTGACCCACTTGTCTGAAATTCTAGTTTTTCTCCACTAACTACAAAAACACCATTTTTCAGCTCTGGAACATCGTGTTCCCGGAAAAACGGCATTCTCGAATATGATGCTTGCCGGCTCGAAATCTGACAACACTGATCTCCACTCCGTCGTCGCTAATCAGCTAAAAATCAGTAGAAATCATGCGAAAGTGCTCAATTACGCAAGGCTATACGGTTCCGGAGAAACGCATGCTGGAAAACATTTGATGAGAGTTGGAGGCATGAAACAAACGGACGCAGAAGCCACAGCTTCACAATTATTCAAATTGACGAAAGGAGAAACGGCGAAATATATGAAAGTGGACTCGAAAATGAATTGTTTGGTGGATCGATACATTGAGGAAATGCAGAAAAATCCAGATGAATCCAAAATTCTGACTATCGATGGAGTTTACTATTTGCCTAGTTATTCGAGCCAATTTTCATATGAAACTGTTGGATTTGAGGATTGGTTGCTTTCAAAGTATTCGGATCTTCTTAATGATGGGTCCCACCACGATAATCTGATTTACTCGATTTACGAGAATCCGGCGGAGCCTAGAAAACTATTTGTTGGAGGATATGAGTCGTCGACGTTTAATTTCTTGGAGACATCCGCTGCTGCTCACGACCTAAGGACCCCAATTCTAGGCTGCCAGATTGCAGACTCGTTGGGAAAATTGCCGGAGGGAACGCCGGATTCAGCGTTTTTTGATCGGAAGTATAAGAGATCGGTTATGAATTGGGTTGGTCGATTTTATTATATTTTTTTCTCATTAAAATGTTCCCAATTCTTTTTTTCAAAATATTACTTTGAAAAAATTCGAAATCCCTAAAAATGCTCTAGGAAATAAATCTGAAACTAAAAAGTCAAAAAAAAATTCGATAATCTGAAACTCGGAGAATCTGAATTTCTGTAACTTCGAAAATATACAAATGTTATATTCTCTTTCCTCTACGCTCCAAGAGAATATGTTTTTCTGTATCATCACTTTGAAAGAGGGTTTTGATATTACAAGTTCATTATACATAGGTTTTAAGTTCAATTAATAAGGTCGTTAAATTTACGTAGAATGGTTTGAAAACTCCATTTTCACGCCCGGCGGTCGCGATCGTTGCGAGACCACAAGCCGCCGAAAGTCTATGCGCCTTTAACTCTCGCGCGCCTCTTTCTCCGTTCTTCAACGAAAAACATAATATTCTGAAAATTAAAAAACTTGATAAAAAATTGGAAAATTCTGAGATTCTCAAGTTCTAGGATTCTGATATTCTGGAACTTCTGAAATTTCGAATTTTTGAAAACCTGAATTCTGAACTTCGGAATTTCGGTATTTCTTAACTTTTGAATTTCTGAAATTTCGGTTTTCCGGGTTTTCAATATTTCGGAATTTCTGAGTTCCCAAATTTCTGAATTTATGAATTCTGAATTTTCAAATTCTGAAATTTCGAGATTCGAATATTCTCAGATTCTGCAAAAAGAAAACAAATAATAGTTTTGAAGTACCCCCCAAAAAGAAACAACTGTAATAAATTCCACAGATCGTCCAATCTTCCGCTGTCGACTTCCTTCATCTCCTCCTGATTTCGATGCAATGGCTGTGTGACACCTATCAAATCGATGCGCGATTTGTGATCTCAATCCACGACGAAGTTCGATACATGTGCGCTGAAAAGGATGCTCCGAGACTTGCTCTGGCTCTTCAGTTATCCAATTTATTGGTTAGAGCATACATTTCACACAGAGTCGGCATTTGTCAGTTGCCTAATGTAAGGATTGTGAATTATCGATTTTTTTTGGAGTCCTGGATTTTTTGAATCCTAGAGTCTCATATACATCCAACCAATTCAGAGGATAAGGAATCCAAAAGATCTAGTAGTCAAGAAATCCTAGAATTAATTACAGTACCGGTCAATAATTGTTGATTTTGACCATTTTCATGAGTCTGGAGCTCGGCTGTCAAGTTTCGATCACTTTGAAAATTTTGGAGGGATTACAAATTTTGGATTCACAGACTTTCCTGAAAATTACCACTTTTCAGCTATTCTCCGATTTCTGAAAGACCCCCACAAGGAGTAAAAAACACGAAATAATCAATGTTTTGTTTAATTTCTATTTTTTATGGTTTCTATGAATTTTGCACCACAAAATCGAGTATTAAGCTGCTTTGTAACCCAAAAATTCAAATTTCTCGCGTCGACTTGTCTACGAGGAACACAAAATCCAAAATCGATCAAACCCCGCGATTGGTCAAATTTCAATGATTTTTTGTCTTTTTAGCGGAAAGTTTCAAAAAGGGAGGCCTTTCAGAAATCGGCAAGTATCTGAAAAACTAGGAATTTTCAAAAATTCTACGAATGTAAAGTTTTCGGCTCCCGGACATTTCGCAACCGCGACATTTCGCAGCCAGACATTTCGCAACCGCGACATTTCGCAGCCAGACATTTCGCAGCCAGACATTTCGCAGCCGCACATTTCGCAGCCTCTGATAACGTCATAAAATCAGAATTCCAAGTTCTTAGGTCTTGAAAAAAATATATTTTAATGTCAGAAATTGAATTTCCGAAGAATTCAGCTGAAGCAATAGCAAGGAAGAATTCAATCAATTGAAAACTGTTAAATCTTCACTGTTATGATATTTTTTAGAATTTCTTTTTTTTTTCTAGAATTCCAACTATTCTAAAGACTTATATTTCAAAAAGAAAATTTAAAAAAAAATCGTAACAGTGAAGATTTAACAGTTTTCAATTGATTGAATTCTTCCTTGCTATTGCTTCAGCTGAATTCTTCGGAAATTCAGTTTCTGACATTAAAATATTTTTTTTTCAAAACCTAAGAACTTGGAATTCTGATTTTATGACGTTATCAGAGGCTGCGAAATGTGCAGCTGCGAAATGTCTGGCTGCGAAATGTCCGGTTGCGAAATGTCCGGGAGCCAAGTTTTCAACCTAGATCTGTTTTATACCCTTCAAAATTCTCAAAGTGATCGGACCCTTGACAGCCGAGCTCCAGGCTCTTGAAAATGGTCAAAATCAACAATTATTGACTGGTACTGTAGTTAGTTCTAGGATTTCCTGGATCCTAGCTCTTTTGGATCCTTATCCCTCTATTCTATCTTTTCAGACAGTTGCCTTCTTCTCTCAAGTCGATTGTGATACCGTACTCCGAAAAGAAGTCGACACTGAAAGTATCAATCCGGACGGCACTAAACCCCAGGACGGTGTAGCTTGGACCATCGAGGATCTTTTGAAATTGACCGGTGGAAAATTGGATCTCCAATGATTTTGTTAATTTTTCACTTTGTTAAATATTGCTTGAAAAAGTGATCAAATAAAAAGATTTATTACAAACAAATAATGCTGTAACCGAAATCGGAATAGTCAGAGTTCCGGCTGGAGTAATCGATGGGAATGCAGCTTGAGCATCGGTTGCGTCCGCTGGTGCAGCGCCGAAATGAATGACAATTTTGTCTTCTTTTGGGGCTCCAGCATTTCGAGTGATTATGATATCTCGGCAACCGGCTGGATCGATGAATCCGAAAACTGGAGAGATACGGTAGTCGGTGTTGTTGGAGGACTTTATCTGAAATTTTGAATTTCAATGCTCGAACATTGAGCTCAATTATCTCGGTTCCTATGAAAAATAAGAAAAATTTGTGAACTGATAAAATGTTTATCATAATAAATCATCAACATTTTATCAGTTGACAAATCGTTTAAATCTTTCATGGTAACCTCGATAATTAAGCTCAAAGTTGATAGCCAGGATGGGCCTGTATTGGAAAAAATACGGAACCTTCAACTTTGAGTTCAATTATCTCAGCTCCTGTAGAAGATATGAAACATTTGTCACTGATAAAATGTTTATCATAATATCAACAACATTTTATCAGTTGACAGATTTTGTACATCTCTCATAGAAACCAAGACAATTGAGCTCAAAAACTTATGATACCTTGAAAATGAGCTTCTCGGCTCCGCCATCGTTCAGAATTTATACCGCATTCGTTGACACCTAACATAGTACCCTAACTTTTGGATTACTGTACCTAGGGTAGCGCGTGAAATTTCCTCTGTTTTTTTGGATTACTGTAGATTTTAAAAACACGGATTACTGTAGCGCAAGTTTTTTAGTAAACGTGAAAAGTTGAACTTTTTCACGTCATTCCACACGTGTATTTTTTGAAACCGTAGCTGTCAGCTGGAGAGTCAGAAATCTACACTTTCGTAAATTATGGAGTGGAAAAATGATATTTTGAGCTTCAGTGGTTTTGATTATGGTGTCGCTTCGAAAAAACAAAAAAAATTAACTGCAGGTGGAGAAAAGTTTTAGAAGACGTGAAAATTAGAAAATCATAAAATTTCAGAAGTCCATGAGCAGCAATCAGAGACGAAACTTTTTGAAGGTGAGCTAAATTTCTAAAAATTCTGAAATTCAAAAATTCTGAAATTCAGAAAATGGGAACTCCGGAAATTCTGAAGTTCTGAAACTCTAAATTACACGATTTTTTAGATTTGGATGAGACGGAGTTGGTTGATGAACCACAGAAAATCGAAACTACAAGGGAACCGGCATCCAAGTCAAAATATGAATTCGATCCGATGACAGAACGAAAAATCGAGAATTTCTATTTTCGAAATGTTGAGCAAGCGGAGAGAAAATGTAAAGAATTTATTGTATTTTCTCTAATAGAAGCCTTCAACTTCAAGCTTAATTATCTCAGTTTCTATATGAGATGTCAAAAATCTGTCAACTGATAAAATATTGATAATAATATGATAAGCATTTTGCCAGTTCACCGCTTTTTGATACCTTTCATAGAACTTGAGATAATTAAGCTCAAAGTTAACGGTTTCGGTGGGCTTCTATCTATGATTTTTCAGTGAAAATGCTCTCAAATCTGAAATCAAAAATGTCCGTGTCACCAGCTGGAGAGGAGATTTTTGTGACAAAATTTTATTTAAAACCCAAAAATCATGAGAATCCATGGAAAGATGGGACGATTCAGGAGAAAGAAGCGCCAGCTGTTGATACAGGAAAAAATCTACGGAAGCAAAAAAGAGGAGCATGTATTATCAGTTGATCTGAAACTAAAATTTTTTAGTAAATAAAGAGTTTGTCTGAAAAAAGTTTTGATTATTTGTGAACCTTTATTGGAAAATTTGAAAAATGGGAAAATTCTGAATCACTTTTAAAAAAAATTGCGTCTGATTGTGAATATTTACAAAGTTTAGTGTGCCTGGAAATATGGAAAACAATGGCAGCTTTGGACAGCGTTTTTCCAGAAAATCACTCCTGGAAATCAACTTTGAACGCGGCATTAATTACAAAAAAGGATCAGAAATTCCGCGTGCAGACAACTTTCATGAACTCTTTTCTTATCTTATCTCCAGATCTGATCTACGGGGGCTATATAAGCTGAGAGAAATCAACGAGAAGTCGGACCGAGGAGTCGATGAGGAGTCCGATTTGAAACGAGCTTCCCGGGCAGCTGAGATGCCAAGTAATTTGATCAATTCAACGAAGACTACTGACTTCTCTACTCGATGATGATCACCGGGATTTGCGGAGGATCGGCAAGGAGGACGTCGGATGCTGCCAGGAAGCTTCGAATGCGCTACTCACTGCTATTTCATTTTTTAGAAGACTGATCGACGTCATTGAAGTAAAAAAGTACTAGAAGGTCCTAAGGGGGGCGATTCACCCGCCCGCACTCACCCGGGGGCTCATCCCCCGCGGCCCCCCGTTGACCCCCCGCGAATATTTACGTGAGGAAAATATTATCTTTTTTGTATTTTTTGGTTTGAGAAACTCAGTTTTTCTTGGAAAATACGTGATTATCCTTAAAAATTTTATTAAAATTCACACGCCTTTAATTGCGGGGGGCCGCGGGGGGCCGCGGGGGGCCGCGGGGGGCCGCGGGGGGCCGCGGGTGGGTAGCGGGTAGCCCGCTTCTTCACCCGCCCAAATGGAAACCCTATTACCAAATGACCGAAATTAAATTTTAAAACAAAATGAAATAACAATTGATAGCGCACGCTGAGCTTTCTGGAAGCAAAGTATCTACTGGAACACACCGACTTCCGACTTCAAACTTCCCACTTCAAACCTGATAAATTTTCACATCTCTTTTTTCATTCTTTTAAATCAATTTCTTCTCTTATTGAATTTCATTGAATTTCGAACTCTTCAGTACTCTTGAACTTCTGAACTCCCCGAATTGCTGGTTCTTTGGATTCCAATATAACAATTTCTTTGGATTCCAATATAACAAAAAGTTTTTAAAACTTCAAAACTTTCCCTTCCTGACATCTTTTATTATTTACGTCGGGTTACTGTAGTTTTTGATTTAGATCAGTGTTTTGAAAACACGTGATTCTGGATCATCAGCATCATCGGCGTAGCACCTAGAATTTCAGAATAGAAAAACAAGAAGTTTCAACGTCTCGAAATCTCTGATTCTTGAAAGCTCCGAATCTCAGACTCTTAGAATATCAGAATTTCAGAATTTCATAGAAGCAGAACTTCAAAAGCCGCCGAATCCTACCGGTCGATAGGATACACGAAAACGTATTTTTCAGTGGATTTCGGCCATTTTGATCATTTTCAGGAGTCTTGAGCTCGGATTTCAAGTTTTCGATCACTTTAATATTTTTGGAGGGTGCAAAACAGACCTAGATTGAAAACTTTGCACTTACAGAGTTTTTCGAAGAGTTTCCTAGTTTTTCAGATTTTTTCCGATTTTTCAGGAACGTTTTGTGACAAAAATATGGCAAAAAGGAGTGTCTTTCAGAAATCGACAGATATCTGAAAAACTAGGAATTTTCAAAAAATTCTGTGAATGCAAAGCTTTCAATCTAGGTCTGTTTCACACCCTCTAACATTTTCGAAGCTATCGGACACTTGACAGTCGTGCTAAAGACTCCTGAAAATGGTCGGAAATCAACTGAAAAATACGTTTTCTTATATCCTATTGACCGGTACTGTGAATTCAAAAAATTAACCAACGACTCACTTTCTATTTTAACCTCGTTATGCCACGTGGCATGCCGCCTGTCTTTGCCACGTGTACTTTCTGACTCTTAATCCCTGTTCAGCACTTCCAAATACAAATCTCACGCAAAATTCGTCTTTACCGATTTTCCCATAACCGCCAGATAAAATCTTCCAAAAAAATTAGTCCATCTCTCTTCCCTCCCCTATAAATACCCTGCTCTTCAGTGGATTCGAATCAATTTTCAAACAACATCAGTTGACAACAAGGAGAACAAGATAAGCGACGATTAAAATGGAGCGAGTTTTGTAAGTCAGCCACGTGTCATTTATCCAATTCATCGATCTATTTCCAGTGGCACCAAAGGAAACAAAAGCAAAAACAAGACAACGACAGCAAAGAAGCCACGCAAGAAGGACAAGACGAAGGACGATGGAGGAACGACGACTGAGGAGAGTCGGGACACGAAGAAGAGGACAGGGAGAGGAACGAATCGGACTCCTCGGGAGACCAAAGGATCCAAGGAAATGCAGTCTGCGACGCAGAACAACGATTCGGGGAAGAAACAGAAGAAGTCGAAGAACAAGAAAGGAAAGAAGGATGCGTCGGTGGATACGACGGAAAATCCAATTGCAAAGCTAAATGAGATGTTCAAGAATCTCGCTGGAGGGGTTAGTGTTTGACATCTGTGATCTAGAACCATTGCCGGCGGATGCGCGGCGTCTGAAAAACGGCTGCCACGTTTCGCCGTGAAGCCGGCTCTCAGCTGTCACGTTGTTAAAACGTCTAAAATTTAAACTTTTTTTAAATTCTAAAACAATGAATACTTCGAACTGCTGAAAAAAGCCGGCTGTCAAATCCTAAGATCACAATAATCTTGAGAATTCGAAAAAAAAGTATCGAAAATCCAAAAAATCCTGAAAATTTTAAAAGTCCTTTAATATTTAAAATAAGATCAGAAAGCTAGAAAAAAAACCAACCTTTACAATTTAGAAAAAAACTAGAAACCTGAAAATACGAAAAATAGAAACTTCAAAAACTCAAAATTTTGAAAATTTTCAAAATTCTTAAAATTTGTTTCGACAATCTTGAAATTTTAGGATTTAAACTAATTTTAGAATTTTTTGAGTGTTCAGGAATTTTAGATTTTTTAGGACTTTTAAAAAACTTTTTTAAATCTCGACGTTTTCGTTTTCCGGTGAAAAACGGCATTTCTCCATCCCTGTCTATATATAACCCAAATCTCTTTTTTTTTTCAGAAATCCAACCCCACTCCATCGGAACCATCCAAGCCAGCAGCTGCTGCCAAAGTCAAGAATGCGACGATTTGCGATGATGAGCCAGCCACATCGAAACTTCCTCCATCACCGCCATGTATTGTGATGCCGCCGGATGTGAAGCCAGCACCACCTCCACCAGCGCCAGTTGTGAAGCCAGCAGCCCCGCCAGTTCTGGTTGTTAGCCCAGCCCCAGTCACCACGGATCCTTTGACCCCCTACTCACCAGCAACACTGAATTCGACATTGTCGTTCACGGAGAAATGGATGGGAGAGGAGACGGCGAAGATCTGGCTCGAGAAGGTGGACTTCTTGAAGACGAAGCAAGAGTTTGAGCAGATCCAGAACGTGGTGGTGCCAGTGGATGCTTGCAAGAAGTGGAAAGCCAACAGGGCTCTCAACCAACCACCACAGGACGATTTTCCAGTTTTGGACGCGAATCTGGTCGTCTTCGAGAACACATACGTCAACATGTCAGCCATCGATGTCGCCCTTCCAAAATCCAAGATATTCATGTGCCAAATCCCTCTCAAAGGATCGGAGGAGGCATTCTGGAAGACGGCGTTCGACAGGCAGATATCGTACATGGAGATCATCACGGATCAAGAACCTATCGAGTTTTTCCCGATTGGAAATGGAGAACACGTGTACCATGGAACGATGTTTGTCAATAATCGACGGGTGGAAGCGGTCAGCGAAGACGTGACGCGTTTTGCGATCGAGGTGTTGCCGGAGGGATGTTCCAACTCAATCATCTGCACCATCACAATAGTCAAGAATTGGTCGCCAGACAGTGTCCATGCAAAACAAGCGGTGGTTATCAAGGAGATTATTGAGATGACAACGTTCTTGACAAAGGTAAGAGGGTTACTGTATGGGTTGCTTTAACCAAGTTTGAATTTCAGACAAAGGATGAGAACGCGCTGGTGATGTCAAAGCATGGAGCCGGGCGAGCTGGATACTTCGTCGCTTTGGCTGTGGTCGTTCACAAGTTGGATAAGGCGACGGAGCCACCGATTCAGGAAATTGTCAAATCGCTTCGAGGACAGAGGCCAAGAGCAGTGGAGTCGTTGACACAGTATGTGTCTCTCTACACGACACTCTTTTATTACACTAAGGTGAATCTGAGATTTGAGAATTCTAAAATCCAGAAATGATTTTACAGAGAAAAGTTGGCCGAAGCGATGGAGATAAGAAGGCAGCGATGGAGTGTGATGAGCCGACGTGCAAGAAGACGGTTCAACTAACGACTACATTCACGAATGCACTGATCGCAGAAATCAACGCCGCCGCCGGAAGATCAACGTTGACAGTGACAATCAAGTAGAACTTTAGTGTTGCTTTTGTGTCTTTTGAGATTTTATTAGATGAAGAATACATAACTAATTTATGTGTGTTTGTGAATACTTTAAAACCTATTAAGTTTGGACTCAATTATCTCGGCTCCTATAAAAGATATCAAAAATGTGTCAACTGATAAAATGTTTGTGATGCTATGATAAACAATTTATCAGTTTGCAACATTTTTGTATCTTTGATCATAGGTTTTACAATATGTGTGTTGAAAAAATTTAGAAAAAAGATCCGAAAATCTAAAGAAAAGATACCCGATCAAAAAATTTTAAAAATTCTGAATCTTCACAGACGTGACGATGACTCCCAGAAGAAAAAAAAATTTTCGATCAGAATTTTTTTTTGAGATTGGCTTTGTAATGAAAAATGTTGGTGTAAATCAAAAAAATTTTGAAGCGGTTTGGAACACTTGCTCTTGAGATGTGCTCACTGAATCATAATAGGTATGGTTCTGGAGTTTAGCTATAACTCGGCTCAAAATGATCCAAATTTTCTCAAAACTTGAGAGAATGTGTGTCTTTAATTGTTTTACAATATACATACAAAACTTTAGACTTTGGGAACAAAAAATTTTGCTTGCTTGTTTTAACCGTTTTTGGTACACAAGAATGAAAAATTATGAAAAGAATTCCGACTTCAAAAGTTTCACTTCCTGACATCTTTTCACATTTCTTTTTTCTTTTTCTTATCAAATCTTTCTTAATTTTTTCAAATCTTTGTTTGATCAATTTTGATTGAATTTGAAATTTTCGATTTTTCAGAATTTTTCAAATTTTCATTTCTTATGTGGGATTGTTGAAAATTCGGTTTTGATTTTCAAACTACAATAACCCTACACATTTCAAATTCAAAAATTCGGAAATTCAGAAACTCAGAAATTCAGAAATTCAGAAGTTCGGAAATTCAGAAATTCAGAAATTCAGAAATTCAGAAATTCAAAAATTCGGAAGTCTATATTTAAAAAATCGGAATTTCCATATGCTTTACAAAGTGTTCAAACTACGAGAATTCCTCAAATCGGTTTCCCTTGCCGATACGCTTATCCGTTCCCTATCTTCTTCTCTTTCTCCTTATCACCTTCTCCTCCAAACCATTACATCACACTTCTCTCATCCCCAACTTTTTTACCCATTCCATCCATCGGATCAATCATCACTCCTTTTCTCTCTCCTTATTCTTCTCTATTTCTTCTTTTCCGAAAAGAAACCTGCCGTGTAGCTGGGGAAGCCAAAAATTCGTTACCTTATTCAAAAAAACCATGGCGCCGACCAAGTTTTTCGTCCATAAAAAGCGGTGCATCTAATCGCTATAAAAGCATGGAATCAGGGTGGAGACGTCTGCCGTTTCATTCGATAATAACTGTGTGAAATGATGGAGGTGGACTCCAATACAAAGGTATGTCAAGTTTTTTGCTACAGTAACTGAAAACCTATTACCGTAATTTCCAGGCTGCATTTTTTTGTAAGAGCTAACATGAGTTTTTTGCTATAGCATGAGGTTTTGGCATGAGCTAACTATGGTCTGACTTTCCCCCATCTTGAAATTTCTAGTCTCCTTTTTTAAGAAAAGCTACAGTACCTGAAAACCTATAACCTAACTTTCCAGGCCTACCGTATCATCGGATACGTCACTGTTACCGTATCCACCTTGGCCATCATTGCCCTATGTGTGACGCTTCCAATCGTTCACAGCTACATCAAGGAGATGCAACACTCGATGAAAGTGGAGATGAATCAGTGCCAGGTACAGTTTCCTCATAAAAATCAGGACCTGCCAATGATTTCAAGGCTTAAAATAGTGCTGAAAGATAGTCTTATGCTGAAATAGACTTAAACCCGCCTAAATTAGGGCTGTAATATGCTCAAAAATAGCTATCAAATAGGCTTAAAATGAACTAGAAATAGGATTAAAGATTGGCTCAAAATTAGGCTTGAAAATTTGCCTGAAACAGGGCTAAAATTAGGCTGGAAATGACATAAAATGAGCTAAAAATGGGCTTAGAATAGGCTCAGCCGCCCCTTTCAGTCTTAGAAATCAAGATGATTGCTCATCCTTAAACTTTCCACCCACAATGCCAAGGTTCTCTGGACCAAAGTATACATGCTGCGTGCATCTTTCAGCCAACGTGGATTCAACCGTACCGCCCGTCAAGCCGGCTACGAGTATTCGAACGATGAAACCACACCATTCGCACCACCCAAGTTCGGCTATCCAGTCGTTGGACAACCCAAGGAGGAGGCTAATG